TGGATTATGTAATGCGCCAACCGGTTTTGAACGCCTTATGGAGACTGTGCTGTGTTTCCTAGGAAGCCTGTTTTATGTACCTGGATGATATCACCATCGTCAGGGAAAGTTTTGATGAACATTTGGAAAATATTCGAAAGGCTCTTCAGAAACTGAAGGAAGTTAAATCTAAAGGTCTACGAAATATAAACTGTTCAGCCAGGAAGTGACTTACCTTGGACCCGTCATCTCTGCCGAAGATATGCATATGGGTATTCAACAATGTGTGTCTGCCGCAAAAAGTTTCACCAATTAAAAGATTTGAGGAAACGTCTATCAGTTGAGAAGTTTCCTGGGGTTTTGTACCTCCTATAGGAGATTTGTGAGGGACTTTTCTTCTATTGAAATATCTTTTCACAAACTGAGAGGAAGCGGACAAAAGAATGTGAGGATGCCTTTAACTAACACCTGCGACAATCCCGACATATCCTAAGCTCGACACACCATTTAATCTTGACATAGACAAGCAGTGAGAGTGTTGGCACTGTTTTGTCCCAAGAAATAAATGGTCAAGTAAATGTTGTGCCCTACTGGAGCAAGTGTCCGTTTCAACTGTAAACAAATTACTTTGTCACCAGAAAACAGTTTCTCTCCATAGAACATTTCCACTATTACCTCTATGGCAGAAAATTTCTGCTATGTACAGATCATGCATTGTTGACTTGGCTCTAAAATTTCAAGAATCCTGAAGACCAAACAGCTAGATAAACAGAGACTCCAGGAATACGACATACTGGAAAGGATCATGACATGAAAATCCTGATGCCCTGTCTAAAAGACCATGCCCAGAAAACTTCCGATGTTTTCCAGGTTCGAAGCGAAATACAAGCTGGTTAATCTGGTCGCACATTAAGTAACAATTTCAACATTGGCTGATCTAGACACATCAAATGGTTAAGAAGTTAGGATAGACAAGTTGAAAGACGGGACATTAAAACCATAATTGTCTTAAGAGTATCCAGTTAGCAAACTCCCCCCCTTGCAGAACATTGTGATCAATAGTGCTATGACAAAACAATACTGGGCCCTCTGGAACTAACTCAGTGTTTGAATTGGCATCTTGTAGAGGCAGTTCAAATCCGATGATGGAAAGCCATTCCGATTACAGTTCATATATGCCGGACGTCTTTAAATAAGTACATAGAAATCCCACTGGAGGCCACTTTGAATTAACTAAGATTTTGTATAGTTCAACAGCATTTCTACTCTAGTAATGCAAGGGCTGATGTGCAAAAGTGGTGTCAATCAAGCAATCTTTTGCGGGCTGGAAAGGACCTAAGAAACGCAGATCACGAAAGCTGAAACCTTACAATGTAGGAGCACCTTTTCAAAGCATCGTCTTTGATATAATGGAGCTGCTGGCACGAATTGATGGCAACAGATACATCCTTGTTATCATTGATTACTTCAAATGTGGCCTAAAGTGTATCCTATCCCTGATCAAGAGGCTGCTACAGTAGCAGATATATTGATACTTCACTGGATTTACAGGCTTGAAGTGTCTTTTTAATTACATTCCGATCAACGAAGAAATTTTATTTCACCTGTAATTAAAGTACTCTGTAAATTACTTGGCATAGACAATATTCCAAATGTCACCTTTACATCCACAAGCAGACGGCGTAGTAGAGAGGTTTAATTGAACCATCCTTAGCACCTCTCGCTAATAATTTCCTGAAAGCAACATGACTGGGACCAGAAGTTACCTCTGTTATTACTGGTCTACTGCAGTATTGTCCGCAAGACTACCGGCTATTCCCCATCCAAGATGCTCTTCGGTCAGGATCTTTGTCTATGATCTCTTGTTTGATGGCCCTCCGGAAGCACCTTCATCGCCTGAGTACATTTAAGATCTTCAGGTATAGCTTGAAGTGAGACACAGTTTTTCATGATAGTGAGTCACTTGGCGATGAAGACCCCATACGACACGAGAGCTACAGGACATTGATTCAACAAAGGTGACAAGGTGTGTTTATGGACAGGACCAATCTTATTGGGGGCAAGATGGTGCACAGCATGTGGCCAGTGAAATGATTATCAAATTGAAATGATTATATTTTTGTAAAAAAGGGTGGCCAATTTTAATTTGCAGTAACGGTCTAAGGCTGGCACTGGTTGTGGAACCCAGTTCAATGGAAAGAATTTTCTTTTAAGGACAGACAATATTAATTCGCACATGGGCTGCTGATGGTCTAAGGCTGGCACTGTTTGTGGAACCCAATTCAGTGGAAAGAACTTTCTTCTAAACTACACTCGCTCTAAATGTTCCTTTACAGGCTAAATGACATGGTAATTTGAATCCACAAGTCATCAAATTCTAAGCTTAAAATCGATCATTACGACAGGTAATCCCCATAATGTATACCATGTAAATACACAACTGGCCATTAAAATTGCAAGACTAGGAAGGAATGATTTAATGAACGTCAAAATCACATAAAAAGAAGAAGTTGTGATATCAATTATTAGTATTTCAGCACATTTAGACGCCGCAGGAGAAAGAAACGACATCTAAAGCACTGCATAATAGAAAAGCTGTATAGTGGATTTCTCATTCAGAAAGCATTTTGTAAGGTCGTCTTATACAATGCTCAGAACAGCATGGTATGCCTCAAAAAAGAAAAAGAATGTTTACCAGGAAATGTCGGAATTCGATAAAAGCAATATTGTTGCATATCGAGAGTGTGGATTATCTTTCCGTCATATTGCCCGCCACACTGGTCGATATCCAACCACAGTCACGTGAATATGGAATCAATGGGTTGTTGAGGGTCATACTGAATGGCATACAGGATCTCGATGCCCTACCATGACTAACACCTGAGAGGACAGACATATTGTAAGGTCAACCCAGCAAAACCATACAACCACATCATGGACCATTTATCAGGAAATGAGCATATTTTCAGCATGCCCAGTATCGGCTGGTATGGTGCATCGACGTTTGCAGCAGCATGGACTATCAGTATGGCTTCCCTTGACAATGCAGCAGAGAGACAGTGACTTGGGTGTGGCGAACAACAAAGCTCAATATAGAACACAATGTCCTCTCTTCACTCGAGTCCTGGTTCTGCACGCAATAATTTGATGGTTATATAAATGTCTGGAGGCGCTAAGGAGACCACTCGTTGCCTGCTTGCATTCAATATCAGCATAGGGGTCCTGCACCTGGTGTGATTGTTTGGGAAGCCATTCAGTACAGTACATACACATTTACAGTTCATATCGATGGTAATTTGAATGGGTACATTTCTGACATCTTACATCCAGTGGTTGTGCCTTTTATTCAAGTTTATCAATGCCATCTTCCAACAGGATAATGCAAGACCACATGTTGCACGTCATGTTCTGACTTTCCTTGATACACAGGGTATTCGATTGCTGCCCTAGCCTGAACTGTCACCCACTGAAAACATCTGGTCATGGGTTGCTGAGAGATTGGACTGCCATTCCTCTAAAGCCAATACGATTGATGAAGTGTGGCATGGACCTGAAGCAGCATAAAATGAGTTACCAGTTTCTGTCATCCAAGACCAGTTCGACTTCATACTTAACCAGGTAATGGTTATTTTAGCTTCTAGGCTGGTAGCTGTTTCTACTAATTTCAAACCCCTTTTGTATTTGCTCTCCTTCATGGTGTTGCAATTTTAATGGCCAGCAGTGTAGTATACTAACACTATGGTCCTATATGCATACAAATTTATGCATGATTCAATTTCTGATTTGTTGTATGTCATTTACTGAAATTATTGTTGTAGTATTGGATTGGTTTTTCTCACTTATAAGTATGGCTTCCTGTCCAGCGGTTGTACTGCCCATGATATGCAGTCCTTGGGAAGAAGCATTGTTACGAATTTTGTAAAATTTAGCATAAAAAGTCTGAAGAAAGTAAAATGCTGCCCGAAAAAGGTTTCAGGGGCATGCCTAATCAACAGTGATGTAAATGGCTATCTCACTAAATTGGCTAGATATCGACAAGTTGGTGACTATTTTTTGTTGCCAAATTTGATTAGAATTTGCCAAAAGTCGCTAAACTCAGTGAGCATTTGGTGACATTTTGGTCCAGTTCCTGTATAACTTTAATTTATTCTTATATATAACTTAACCATATATTCCTTCCAGTAATTTCAAGAAATGGAAGGTGCTAGAAATTCTGTTGTTGCTGGGGAAAAATTGTATAAGACTGGAGATAGTATCAATTCTGTTTTTAGTTCAGAGCTGCCTTTGGAATATTTATATGCACTGTGCTATGTTTAATACTCTTAGCTCTACACAAGCTATAGCTTAGGGCCCCCACTTTCTTGAAGGAGGCTAAAAAATTAAAATATAGTATAAATAGTATTAAAATAAGCTTTAGTGTAGAATTGGGTGCCCCTTCAATTGGCGACATTTAAAAAAAATTTTTGGCGATGAAACCTCCCTTCTGAAGTTAAACAATAGTTTTAACTTTCCGATTTTATTTAAATGAAAATAGATTGATGTGTACATGGACATATTTAAGGCAGTGCGCAATGCCTAGTTTGTGCAATTCTAGGATTTTTTTTAAGTAAAAACAGATCGATGTGTACATGGGCACAGATCTTATGCAATTCTTCGACTTCTTATTTTGGTTTTGTGTAGCGGCCAACTTGAAATTGTGACTTCCTGGCGCCTGGCTTCAAAAAAGAATTGCCAATAAACAAGGGGCACCCAATTGTAAACTTTTACCTTAAAATATATTATAAGAGGTTTATAAAAGGCCCCATATCTCAAATAGCTTAGGGTCTTATCAAGTTTAAATCTGGTTCTGTGTAGAAGTACTTCTTGTGGTAAGCTTCAGAACTGTAATGTGTTTCTTTTGGGAAAATAAATTTTATCAAGCTCTCATCGGTTCTGTGTGCATCCAATCAATTATGAACCCATACATATGTAGCAATATTATTTAGCATAAAAGCTTACAGACTGCAGCTATGTACATCACATAGATATAAGATTTCATTTATTTTTTTCATAATTTATTACAAAATACAAGTTATATTTTATTCAATACATTTGTAATTAATTCAGAACTTTCATAATGCAGTAAATTTACATTTTTTATGTACATTAACTGGAACTTTTTTTTTAAATACATTTTTAAGGACAAATTCATAAAAGAAACTGAATTACCAAAATTCTAAGAACAAGGAATAGGAAAATATACGTATTTATACCAATAATATTTTTAATAACTAATCATCAAATTTAACTAATGAGTTAAAATATTGAAGTATTAAGCAGTTATAAAATCAATGCACAGTTTAAATACTGAAGTGACACTTGCATATGTTTATAATTCCATATATTTAAGATTTCATTGAGAATTTTTACATTTGTAATAAAATAACATTCTCCTCACATAATAAATGTAATTTTGTAATCTAAGTAATTTCATTTCACTGTTCTCCTTGATCTCAAATTTCATTTGGATTATTACAATTTCAAGTAATTTTAATGACCACAAAAGACTTGCTAGTCTGTTACAGTGATATTTTGCAGTCATTTCTTAATGAACCCATCTTGTTCATGATTCAGCCATTGCTTTTGTGATTCAGAACTACTATGGTTAAAAGAAGACTGTAACATCTGAAAAATACATAATTCTTATTATACAAAGAAATACACCATGTTTCATAAAGAATATATGTATTACAAAGTGTTATTTTGTACAAACTATCGATTACTGCGCCTCAGCTCGCTATTGGCAAAATGAATACATAGTCTAGTTTATATTAATAGCTGCTAAATGTAAGTTTTCTTCTGTTTTGCATGGTAACCATCACATGTTTAAAATGGCTACTCTGCAGCAGAAATTATTTTGTGTTCTCGAGTTTGCAAGGTGCAATTCCGTGATTACAGTGCAAAGACGTTTCAAGTTGAGGTACTAAAGTGATCCTCCAAATGGGTGGAACATTCGCAGATGGTATCGACAGTTTGTAAATACAGGATGTGTATGTAAAGGAAAGAGTCCTAGCCGCCCTTGTGTTCCCGAAGAAAATGTTGCACGAATTCAAATTGCTTCCCAACGTAGTCCTTCAAAATCAACTCGTCATGGCAATCGGGAGTTACAACTGCTTACAACAACAATTTGGCATGTTTTGAGACATCGGTTGGTTATGAAGCCATACAAGTTACATTTGTTACAGGTTCTGCATCCTGATGAGAAAGGCAAATGTGTGGCATTTTGTAACGAGATTATTGATGCTATTGACAATGATAACACTTTTGCACAACGCATTGTGCTCAGTGATGAAGCGACTTTTCATGCTAGTGATCATGCAAACAAACACAATGTTCAAATTTGGGGCCTACAGAACCCACATGCAGCCACTGAACATGTACAAGATTCGCCCAAAATCAATGTGTTTTGTGAGATAATCTGATCACCTGTTTACAGCCTATTCTTCTTTGATGGAAATACAGTTAACGGCCAACAGCATCTCGCTATGTTACAAAACTGGTTGTTTCCGAGGCTGCACGAAAATAACTGCATTATTTAACAAGACGCGGCACCCCTTCACTGGTGTCGCCAAGTGCATGATTATCTGAATGAAACTCTACTGAACCATTAGATTGGTCGTCAAGAAGCACTGGCGACTTACCATGTCTCAGCTGGCCTCCATGGTCACCAGATTTGACATCCTGTGACTTCTTCGTGTGAGTTTTCATTAAAGACAACGTTTATGTACCACTACTCTCACAGAACTGGAAGAGGTGAAGAACTGGATCCATACTGTCATAACATCAGTGACAACGAACATGCTTGGCGAGTATGGGGGGGGGGAATTTGAGTATTGATGTGATATTGTTCGTGTCGCTGATGGAGGACATATTGAACATGTGTAATCTGAACTTGAGAGGTTCGTACATATGTGTGTAAAGTTTAATATTCGTATGTCATACAGTTTAATAAACATATTCATTCGAAATATGTATATTCTTTTTGAAACAAGCTGTACTTTTACTATATATGATCAAATAAATAAAATTATAATTTTACATCCATAAAATTGCTTTATAAAGGTTTTTTTAATAATATTAATGATGTTAGCAATTTCATAATTTGTTTCTCATTTATAAATTATGCTTATCATTTTGTTTCCTGACCACAATTTTAGACAGATTCATTTTCACACATGAAATTAATAAATTTATTACATGGGGAAAATTTATTTTTTAATTTATTGAGAATATAAGAATTACACTTTCTGTTAATTATCTGAACAACTGGTGCTGGAAAAAAAAATAAAAATAAATCTCTTAACCTTATGAAACTGATGATTGTAAACTTAAAAACTGAGTGCACATATTTGATAGGTTGGTTAACTAAATGAAAAAATTGCTGTGGTATAAGGCAATTAAAAATTTCAGGTGAAAAAGCTTCAGCTGATACTATGAACTGCTGAACTATTTGTAGATGAATTCTCTGAATTCACTAATAGTGGAAAGTTATCTCTAGAACAAATTTACAATGCTGATGAAACTAGTCTTTTCTGGCAATATGTACAGCAAAATACAATGGCAACCTCTACAGAAAAGGCTTCAACTGGTGTCAAAGCATGACTAACAATTTTACCATGTGCAAATGTTGCAGGAATGCAAAATGTACTTTTTGCAATTGGGAAATATACACGATCTTGAGCATTTAAAGAAGTAAAGATGTTCTCCGTTATATATTGCACAAATAAAAGAGCATGGATGATATAAGCGTTAACCTTTTCGCGACGGCGCACCTTTGTTTAAGACGCTCGTGCGGGACGGAAGGGAATCGAAGGCAGTCACCGTACAGGATGGAAGTTTTGCTTCGCTAAGCCTAATTTTATAAAAAAAAAGTTTCGCTTCTAGCATCGTAACTTTTTGTATCATTTTAGACTATTACTTGAGCTCTTATATATGTTAAAATTAGCACTTAATAACATTTTTTTCTTTATTTTACATGAAAATATACTTAAAAAATTGCTTATCTTCTAAAATAATTTTTGGAAGCACTATTTAAATTATTCCAAAGTTTTAATTGATAAAATCCATCAATAAAGTTTAAAATTAATGAAAAGAACACAATAAAGACTATTTACAGTAAGAAGTAACAAAATTTAAAGTAAAAATGAGTATGGTAAATCTCGAAGCACAGAGAAGTATCAATTTGTAACTCTTAGAAAAATATCACATTTTAACTCTTTAGAAAATGAATCAGTACTCTCATTTGCATTAGTAAATGGTTCACTAAGCATACTAGGGTATTCTTCCTCTGATAAATAGTGCCTTACTGCCATAACAGACTGGAGGTGAGGCTTTCCTAAATAAAAAAAAAGAAGGAACGGAAATATATCTGAAGGCAATGCAAAACGTAGAAAAACTCCGCACATTAACCCTAAAAGACAGTACATAGTAGAGGGAAAAAATAGAATAAAAAAAGGAATTGGATATAAATCAGATATGAGAATGTTTTCATTAGCACGCAGCGATTTAAAGAGCCCACCTCTGTTTACGCTTTCCCTCCGCCCCCCACCCTCGAACAGCTGACGATTAAAATACCAAAGTAAAGCAGAATATATCAAACTCAAGGTCAGAAACATAAAACTGTGTTCATTTCAAAAGTAATGGACACAGGATGCCATCTAGTGGCATTCAAGAAAACGTTCCACCTTAAAATGCGTATACGCATCACCTGTCCTCTGAATGCGATCTTTACTGATGCGATCTTTACTGATGGGACGCCCGGATTAAAGAGACACTTTTTAGGGAATGCGTATATGGGGCGCCCGTCCTTAAAAGGTTAATGAGCAATTGGTTTGAAAATCATTTCATACCTGAGGCTCGTCAACATTTGAATTCGGTTGGTTTACCTGATGACGCAAAAATTGTCCTGATTGTAGACAACTGTACGACTCATATTTCACTTTAAGTCTTAGTGAAAGCTAATGTATATCCGTATTATTCTTTCTCCCAAATTGTACATCCATCATTCAGCCTATGGATATTGGAATAGTGTGCACGTTGAAATGCAAACATAAAATAGCATTTTTAAAGTCCACGTTAAATTTCTTGAATAATGGCAAGAATATTCAAGAATTAAAAAAATATTTTAGCATAAATTTGCTGTGTGCAGCATCGGAAGATCGCAGGAGGATATGTCACCAGATAGTTTAAAAAAGTGACTGGCATAATTTATATCCAGCTAACATATTTCATGGGGAGAATAATGAAGAAGGTAGCCGCAAATTTGAAGGTTTTCGAATGTGGAGAAGCAGTAATAGATGAAGATGATATAACAGAAAATTTTCATTGAGATGACAGTGCCCCAATCATCAATCAGTTAACAGACGGCAAAATTTTTAGTATGATTCTAGATGCAGGAAATACTGCTAACCATAGTGAAGAAAGTGACAGAGAAGTTATTGAAAACAAAAAATTTCGATTGACAATTTAGTCAGAATTTTCGACACAGCAATTACAGGACTTGAAAAATGGAACTTTGTAACTGAACTAGAAATTATAACTGTTTATAGAATTAAAGAGAAAGTAGTAGTGCTTGAGACTGGTGGTAGTAAGACATTTGAACTCAACAAAAAATAATTTAGACTTGGTTCTGCCAGCTAGTAAAAAATCCTATACTGAGACAGAATTGAGGATGGCTGCTTTGGCCACTATTAGAGAAAGATTTCCAACACTGCAACTAGTTGCATGTGTACACCAATAGTTCTGCTATAAGGGCTAATAGTAATGCTGCTGCAGCAATTTATTCTTGGCACTTTAGCTTTAACAGAGCTGTTGGTGCAAATTGTATCAACTATGATGCTGAAGTGGCTGCTATCCAACTGGCCTGGACTGAAATCAGTAAAAGAGATGATCAGAACATTGTGATATTTATTGATTCACAGGCCAATATTAAAGCAATTTCTTCAGTCATACTTTCAAACAATGGGTCTGTTCTAAATTGTCAGCTTGTGATAAATTCTCTAATAAATAACAGTTGCAATGTTACTCTGCAGTGGATCCAGTCATTTTGGAATTACGGGTAATAAGTTTGCTGACACCCTGGCCAAGGCTGGATCTGTCCTTTCTCAATCCAATCCTCTTGTTTGTTATCACAGTGCTAAGAGAATCATTGAAGCTAGATGTAGAGCTCATCTTTGAGAAAAGAATGGGGACTCTGGAAAGGGGAAGATTTCCTAGACCTGTCGGTGTCATTAACTTTAGATTAAATCTAGACATGACTACCTCATGAAACACCTACACAGATTTGGTTTAGAAGACCCTCCAACTTGCCCGTTATGTGATTGATGATATGTATGTACATTGACAATTTGGACACTTGTTCTAGACTTAATGACAAGACAACAGCTAATTCTGTCAAAAATTATTGTATTTTTTTTAAATGTTTCTGAATTTTATTCTGCTGCATGTCACAGACTAATGGCAGTAAAGCCTAGGTCTGGTGTAGGATATTAAACAATCAGTTAAGTGACATACAGTTAGCTCTTTCAAATAAGAGCAAGCAAATTTTAACTCTTTTTGTTACACAAAATTCCTTATTTAAGTGCTTTCCAAGCCTAACAAATATATAATAACTTACACATTAAAATTTCTGTTTCACATATTAAAATTTAAAAAAACAAGTTTCTAAAACATTAAAATGATGCTTCATTATTATTGATAAAACAAAAGTGCATCTAATTCACTGGCCTAATTGTTCAGTCTAAAACAATACAAGGAATTCAGAAATGGAAAGGACCATCCTCACAGGAAATTCACATCATCAATACACGTGTTGTTGCTTTTCTGATCTACAGAGGGTGTGTAGAGACATTAGGTTATTTCGAAGCAGGAGACATGAAAAATGAGAAATGCTCTCTCTGGCACTCGAACGTCCCGAGCGGCAAGGGTGCTGACCATTATACCATGAAGGCATGCTAAGAAGGTGGGAGAAATACCTTATAGGTATTTACACACTTTTAGAACATTTCAGGGCTGTTTAATTAATGTTTAAAAATCAATCACCAGTTCACATAAAGTTATAATAAATCAATTCAGCTAAACAATTTCAGTGGTACCTTCTACTTTGCAAAACACACTCATTAATAGTACATTGCATTTGGAATTTAAATTAAAATGTTAAGAGTATCTTTTTAAATGTTTCATTTGATAGCAATTTTTTGGACTCTTAAGTCTACATCATGATTTACATGATAGGACTTTTCATATAATTTCTAGTAGTACTGATTTCCATTCTTCTTCCACTACTTTACAGTCCATCAATCATGGTGGGTTTGTGTTTAGAAAGAGCACAATAATTCCAAAGGTAAAACATCAGAGGATTTTGCAGGAATACACTGAAAAGGTATACACGCAATACCTGCATCAGTCTTCGTTTTTTTTTTCAAGGAATGCACTGGTACTTTTTAAAGTATGACTTGTTGCTTTGTCTTGATGAAGTTTCACACTTTAAAAGACACCAGGAATAAAACAATGGAACTTCATCTGTAAGTATCAGAGATAAAACTTCTTCTGATAATATGCTCAGTTGATTTTAGCATTTTCTTTCACTCTTACTGTTAATTTCCAATTGTAAAAGAATTCTGAATCAATCATAAATCCTTTATTGAAACTTTCTTTGCATTGATATTTTTTCCTTTCATTTTCAATAATAAGTAGACATTTTTTGTTGCAGTCTACGTAAACCCATTTATCATCAGTGGTCACAATGTATTTCCATTTAACTCCTGCTAAATAGTTTTCATACAAGGATTTACAAATTATTCTGTGTTGAACCACATGCCTTGTCAAAAGCTGCTGAATATTGTTTTTTAGCTTTCCTAAGTTGTAAACCTTGGTTTATTATTTTATTTATTGCTGTTACAGATGTATTTAAAGATTCTACAATTAATTTCTGCATAATTGGATTTTGCTTTGTTACCAACGATTTAACTTTAGAAACATACAAATGAATACTTTTTTGGGTGTATGTTTGATGTCTTCTTTCTATGTAGAACAACTGATGGTTTTTCCCTTTCCAATTAATAATGTAACTTATTTTGGACTTCTAAATTTTAATACCATGCAATTCATTTTGTGTTTGAATTAAGGAACAGGAATATTTCAATTTGGAAACTGCAAAAAATATCCTTCAATCCACAGTTTTTTTACATGCTACATTTGAAATAAGACTAAATTTAAAAGCAGTTGACAATTTTTGTTGTTTGACTTCTGAATCAGTAGACAATATTTTTAATTTCAAATAATAATCTGCTGTCAGAAATTTTTATTTCAAAATACTTGCTTTTTTTTAAAAAAAGATTTCTTCTCAAAATCATTCTAAAAATGTGTAAACACCCTCTGCAGTTTGTGAGCCTCTGAGATAACCACGACCTAAACTTCTGCAGCTTGAACAACCAGTATTTTCAGTGACTTATATGAATGTATACAAATGATTTGACATCCAAAAATGTAGCAAACAGTTCCTCAAGTGTGGAGATATCGGAAACATTTTAGAAATGACTTGAGAGTACTCAAACAACTTTCCACCTGGTCAAGACAATGGGACTCTCAACCAGTGAAGCAAGCGAAAGCCCTCAGTAGTATGGAGCTGCATTAAGCAACATGCTGCATTTCTTAATGGCTTCTCAGTGCTTGACGTGGGAAGCCCAGGGCCCACAGGGACAACAAAAAAATCTTTCCCCATTTCTCCTTCCATCAAAAAAAAAAAAAAAAAAAAAAAAAAAAAAAAGGGGGGGGGAGGGGGAGGTCAACTTCCTTCTTCCTCCTTTAAGTTCAAATAAAATCTGATCTTATTATCCAAAACAACCTAAAAAGAAATCTCCCATGTCACCAAATAATAAGTTGAGTGAAAAATGATTAATAATGCTAGGTCAATGCTAAGTTAAAAATTCTCTCTCAAGCCAACCCCCCGACAGTTCTTCCAATGAACCCCAATAATAAATCTACAAAATATCTGAAACTTTCTGTCTCTAACAAATGGCAAGAGCAAAGCCTTTACATTGTGATCATGAAAAAGATACAAAACTGTACTTTCTCACAGTGTCCTCCTGAAAATTATTGCCATATGCAGGGGGAGAAGAGCTAGTTATTGTTATTTTCAAATGAATGCCATTAAAATTTTAAAATTTATTTTTGGCATACAGTTTATTGTGGATACATTATAATCATTACCAAACTAATTAACATATAACTTAATTATTTAAGAAGGAACATAAGTCTTCTTTAATTTCAGTACATACCTAAAAAATTCTATCTTTCATGTAGATGGCATCTCGGAAGAAACAAATACTTGAGCAACTTCATCAAAATCGTATATCCTTTTCAGAAACATTTCCTTAATTTTGATCCCAGAAACCATCTAGTAAAGTTAAAGGGGAAAATATAAACAAATCACATAATACAGCTTCTAAAAATTCCTTAAAACAATTATGTTGAAACAGTACTTTTAACACATTGACTGCCGTGGGGGTCACCGGAGACCGGCACTCGACTTGGCTACAGCATCGTGGGTGCCACCGGTGACCAGCGACACAAACAATAGTAAAATACATAATTAGAGTAAATATAGATAATGGTAAATTTTTAAATAGTACCATTGTTACTATATTGTTTTGAATAATAAATCGTAAAAATTTTAATTATAAATCACAATAATGGTCTACAGCGCCTTGGGGTTGACTGATGACCCCCCACACCATGAAAAATGCATTAAGCATGATTATATAACTCACATTATCTTCTGTAGATAATATTTAAACATAATATACATCGCACAATAAAAATTTCAAGTTGGCATCATGGGCAAACCAAGTCAAATGCACGCGGCAGTCAACGTGTTTAGCACCTATATAAATAACCCCTGGACTCTTAAAAAAATTTTACTTCCTGATTGCTTTTTATACATCAGTGCAAAGAGAAAATAATCCAAAAATGGATGTTATATGTTGTCAAAAATGAACTAATTAGATCTTGACATACTCCCTCTGTATTGAAATGATAGCCATATTTACATAAATTCTTTTTATTGTAATGATTTTTCTATTTTAAAAAAGCTGTGTCTTTCCCCCCACTCTATCACTATTTTCAAGACATAAATATAATTCATTAAGTACGACACAATTGAATAAATACAATAAGTATTTATGTAACTGTCGTATTACAAGTTATTTAACCTGTAATGTAAAGTTACATAAATTAAGAATTATTTATTGCTTAATAGGCTGCAATAATGAATTCTCTGGCACAAGCTAAGAATTCTGAGGGTGTGTTTTGAGATCAAAACACTGCCCTTTTTAAAAGGCAGCAGCTTATAATTATTTTCGCCCCCAACTTACATAGTGCATTTCTATGACCTTCTGCAAAGTAAAAAAAGAAAAAGAAAAGAAAGAAAATCTGAAAGGTTCCAGATTTTAAATTACGTCCAAAGGGGGAATTTTTTAATATTTTGTATGTTACCTTTATTTAATAAATACAATGTTCTTCGCACTCAAATAAAAAAATTCAGCTCATCAGGAATATTGAAAAATAATTTTAAAATGAGCATTGTGAGAACGAAAGTTTCTCACACCACAGAGTTTATCATCATTGATGCTATCGTAAGATTAATTGGAATTGCAGAGCTATACGTGGTAATAAATATTCGCCAAACAGGTTTTTCTCCCTTTCCTGACTACGACGTGAACACAGGTTCAGGGCTGTGGCCCGTGCACTCTTGCACATGGAATGCAGATCATCTCATTGCTGGTAAAAAAAAAAGAGGTGCTGGCTGCAAATGATGAAAGTATCAAAATTAATTCTGCTGAAACTTAATGTATCCTAAAGTATTTCGGTTACCATGTGTTTTCCTCAAGAAATTGCTTCTACTACAATCTGGTTTATTACCTTGTGGTGAGAAGAGCTCATGCCGTATCTATGAATGAAACTGTGAGTAACAGAGATACCATCCGTGCTAAAAATAGAAATGATTTTTAAAGAAATAGACGGCTATATGTGTGTAAAGCAACATTCGGAATGTGTGTATGAACTATTTGAGATGATTCCAACAAGAAAGTCAATGATGACTCTAGATTAGTGTTTTGCTTTACATTTTGATAAAGGCTGCACAGTGAGGCTGTGCTATAATATTCCTATTGTTTGTTTAATCCAGATAATATCTAAAGGTGTGCTTAAGTAATTAAATAAAGTGAATTGATGGAAATGAAATTATGATTCTGAAAGGCTTATGTCATTTTTGGGGTAAGTGAAGTATTTTATTTAATTATATATTAGGATTAAAACACGATGTACTAAATATAGTTTTATGCCAGCAAGTATTTGGGTACATGCAGTGACATCTTGTAACAAGCACTGTGGAACTGCAGCACCTCCTATATCCACTTATTATCATTTTTAATATTTAATATAACATGCCCTTTATTCTTGAATTCTTTCTATATACTTCTATAATATTTAATCTTTAAGCTTAATGTCAGTAGCCATGCCCCAGCTTATGAAAAAGGTACAAAAGTCTTTGTATGGAACTGCGTACTTCACATTCCAGCGGCATGGTGTTTGGCTGTTCTGCGTATGTGCACACAGAAAGCAAGATGGAGAGAGAATAGCACTGTCGCTCTTGCAGTGCCAAATCTAATGTGCCGTTGGGAGGTGGTTCTTTTTTTTACTCCGCATGTGCTGTGTTTAAAAACCATACACCATATTCTTGATTAGATTATTTTTCAGCTATTCTATTTAATTTGCTTTTTTGGTTCTTTTATTTTACAGAAAACTTTAACCATGTCCTTGCATCCTCAAGTTATAAATTCTGTGACTGTAAGTGAACTTCAACAGCTTTCATTTTCACAGATGTTTCTGCATGAAAAAGTTACAATTAAGAAAAGAGGTAGTTCAACACCTCATATTCTAATATGTCAGCCAGGCATCAGCAACAACAAGAAATATATTCATAGTTTCAATTCTGAATGGTACCAATGGAAAAGTTGGCTTTGCGGTTGTGAAGTAAAACATGCTCTGTTTTGCTTCCTGTGCTTGCTGTTTGGAGGTGATGTAATGTGGACAAAAGATGGTTTCAGAAATATAAACAAAATGAAAGAAAAAACTGAAAAGCATTAGAAGTCAAAGAAGCATGTTGATAATGTAGTTTAATTGTCACTTTTAGGAACCATTAGTATTATGGAGAAACTTAGTGAAGGATATAGACTTTCAGTCAATGAGCATAACATAAAGGTTAAAAAGAACCGTGAAATTTTGTGCAAAATAATAGACTGCATTTTCTTTTGTGGAAACTTTGAAACTCCCTTACGTGGACATGATGAAAAAAACGATCCAGTAAATCCAGGGTTATTTAGAGCATTAGTAAATTTTGCATCTAAATTAGATTCAGATTTGAAGAATCACTTAGAAACTAGTGCAGTCTTCAAAGGTGTTTTTAAGACCATTCAGAATGAGATACTTGACTTCCTATTTCAAATATACCATGAGGAGATTAGGACAGAAATTAGAAAAGCTTCTTTTGTAGCTTTAATGGCTGATGACACAACAGATGTTTCGGAACACACTCAGATGGTCCTTGTTCTATGGTATGTATTGAATGAAGAAATATTTGAGCGTTTCTGGGATTCTTTATTCCAGAAAATCAAACTGCAGATGGCATATCAAAATGTATTTTAGAACAATTGGAGATAATCCTTCAGGGAAATGAACAAAAATTGATAGCTCAGACATTTGATGGTGTAAATGCCATGAAAGGCAAAAAAGCAGGAGTTCAAGCAAAAATAAAAGCAGTTTATACTAATGCACATTTCATTCACTGTTATGCACATCAAATTAATTAAGTAATGAAAAATGCAGCAGGTATTTCATGAAATACGAAAATATTTTTTTCTAACATTCTTGCTATTCCAACATTCTTCTCAAGATCACTGCAACATGTGCCCATTCTAAAAAAGCATATGGACGTTAGCATTCCAAGTTCTTCCTCCACAAGGTGGAACTTTAACAAACGGACCATAAACAGAGTTCATGAAAATTTGCAACCTTTAAAAAATTGCCTTACTGAAATTCAGTCAACATCAAATGCAGATCAAACTATTGCAGAAGCAACAGGAATTTTAAAATATTTAAATGATGATAATTTCAAATTTTGGTTAGAGCTTTTTTATCACATTATGCCTTGCGTTGAAACAGCAATGACAAGCAAATACAATCCAGAGAAATTAGTGTGTTTAAAGTTAATGAATATATAACAAATTTCAAAACTGCTATTTTACAATTAAGAAACTCAAAGTATTGTGAGAATTATTCAAAGATACTGATGGCAGAAGCTAAGGAAATATGTGATATTATATGTTTTGATACAGTCAAAAGTCTTTAATCCGGACTCGTCGGGACTTCGGCAATTCCGGATTATAGATCATCAGTTTAAATCTGGTACGATGGCATGCAGAAATTATAAAATTAAAAATATGAAACCGTAATTTATAAAATAATGAGCAATTATGATCTAAAGGGTATCAAAATTTACAAAAAAAGAAGCTTAATATTTATTTGTTTACTTTATTAAACATTTCCTTCAACGCGCGCGTGCGTAAAGCATACCTTACGCATAGCCGAAATTAGAAAATTGCAACCAGAAAACTATTTGATTTGTATTCATGATATTTATAATGACGAGGAATTTGATTTAAATCATATCAAAGACGGAGTACATCGAGATTAAATACTACATTTAGTAAGGAATTATAAGCCGAATAAAATAAAAACATCTGCCCTGAAGATAACGATAATGCTGACAGATCAACTTCCAGTTCATTGCGCGCCTCGACGTCCCCCCCCGCGTGCAGAGCAGCGTAAAATTTGATAAACAGATTTCGGAATGGTTAGATAAACAAAGGATATGGCTTTATCCATTTTTTGTTTGATGGACATCGAAACATACTTTCGTTTTCTAGATCCTTTGGGAGCTCCAGCATCGGAAATTTTATTTGACATAATCAAGCTTACTTTTATAAAACTGCTCTTACAGTCTGCAAAAAATAATAAGCCGGATCCAATTCGAAGATTAAGGAACAACGCAATCATCAACATTAACTGAAATAGATAATTAGAGCTTATACCGTCCATTATACATTAAACGCGCACGCGAAAACGTATTCTGCGCTTGCGCAAACGCACAGTCGTAAATGTCTTGCACGCACGCGTAAAACCCCTATGCGCATGCGTCAACGCGGCGCATGCGCAGAAAGATTTTAGCTTTGAGGTCCGGATTATAGATCATTCCGGATTATGGGTGTCCGAATTAACGACTTTTGACTGTATAATGGACAGATATTCTTCCACTAAACACTTAGCAGCTACTAAGTG